CGGCAATGGCAAGAGCCATTTGCCCGGCAGTGGTGTCCCCGACAACACATAGCGGAGTCAGTGACCAACACACCCGATGGACACCACGCACGCGCAGCCGTACCCGGCCACTCTGCAGGAACAGGAAGCACAACGCGAGATGCGGCGCCGGCAGAGGAGGCTGCAGCGGCTCGCAGAGCACCTTACAGTGCCTTTTGCACTCTTTGGAGGTAGCTATGCGTGGCTGGCGGTGACAGGGTTCTCGTGACGCCTCTGCAGCAAGAGGACCCGTCTCCTCTCTTTTTCGCTCCAAGCCATAAAAGTGTCGAGACACCGCGCGCGGCACGCCGTATTCTTTGGCCACGGAGTGGAAACCACATCCAGTTTGTGAGAGAGTTGCTGGAGTGCAAGTAGCAGAGGGAATTACAACATGTGCACCCCGAACGAAGCAGCCTTCTTGTTAACTGTTTATTTACATATTGTCTTTGGCCTCCTTTTGCTGCTAGTGACGCAGGGACGCCACCCACACGTTCGAATTTGCTTAAGCCACGAAGCCTAGCTTTTTTCTCCAGATTCATTGGTGAGTGTAGTTCTTTTTTCCCTTATGCTTCTCTTTTTCTTGCTCCTCTTCTGTTGCTGTTATTCTTCCTCAAGACGCCTGCGGTGCAAGAACAGCAACCGGGCAGATAATATGGGCATTCCCCATTGAGGACGATGAGGAAGAGGCGGCGAGTAGTGGTGGGGGTTCTGCTGGGCGCCGTGAGGCTGGAGATTACGGCGAGCCTTATGAGGAGATCGTGCGTGGCGCCCCACTCCTCGTTGAGTTCCGACGCCTCATTCTCCAGGATATGATGGACCGCCTTGGGGGGGCAAAAGGCGAGCGGTCAATAGCAATTGGCGAAATCATTGCCTAACTGAAAGAAGAAATGCGAGGGGAGATGTGCCAAAACCGTAATGGTGTGACTGGTGAGCAGGTGGGACCTGAAAGCTGCAGCAGCGGTGGGGCGGTACGCCGACTGAAGGGACTTCACAGAAATGACGTGCAGCGTGGCGTGGTGGTCGCGACGCCACAGGAAAGAGCGGATCGTCCCACGGTGGCGCAGAAGGCCGAGGTGGTGCATGTGCACGAGCTGGAGAGGCTAATTTTGGAACGCGCAGCCGGTTTGTAGGAGCGCATAACGATGAGCGAGACAGAGCGCACGGAGTCTTGCCGCATTCTGCGCTCCCTGGTGGATCTGCAACTGCATGGCGAAGATGTACACAACAGCGGCAGGCATCGTGAAAGAGAAACTGTCAACAAAGACTACGGTAAAGGCGCCACCTGGACAGCAGGAATAGCGCCTGACACTTTGGTAATTGAAGCGGCCATCGGGCCCCAGCGTGCGCAGGAGTGCGAATTTTTGGCTGTTGGGTAGCCCAGTGCACTTGGAAGCACAGGGCAAGGGATCGACGTGACGACTTCCCAGCGTCGGCGAGACAACGGGACCAGCAACAATCTTTGCATGGCGTGGCGGAAACAACCGCGGGCCCGGGGTGGGGTGGGACCAAGCGGTTGGCTTGACGGTGAATGGGGAGGTGCATGCGAAAAAAGTGACAAGCGGGCCGAATCGTGGCGTTGTGGAGAGACTCTAGCCGCTGCCCTACTGGCGTGGGCGTTGACAGTAACCACTGCCTCGCGCCCCTTTTAGCCTTTGTCTCCATTTCTTGTACAACTTTGAGCCTTTGTGGAGTTCCGGCATATTTCCTGTTTGTTTGTTTTTTTGCATTTTATTGCTTTATTCTTTGTGGCTGTGGCCTGCAAGTTTTTATTTTTGCCTTTCGTTGATATTTTCTTCGCACTGTTTTCGGGGGGCGCTCCCACGCATATTGAAGCCAATATTGTTTACACCGGGGAGCGAGCTTTTTACGCTGATTCTTCTGTTGCTGTGCGGCCTCGCAACACGCCGCTGGCCAGGTTGATGCGCATGTTGCCAAGCTCACCGTTGGGACCACCGCTGAATAGTTGTTGTTTACGGCAGCTGCCGATTCCGTTGTGCACGACCCACTGGCCACCAACTACCTCCGCTGTAACGGCAATTCCGTGTGGTGGCAGAAAATCTTTCCGTGCAGATGCATGCCGAGACCGTTTCTCTGGGAAACGCATTTTTGGTGCGTCGTGCCCTTGAGGGCTGAGTGGGAAATGATGCTTCCGCTATGCTGGAGGCCCTGGCAGCAGCTGTCTCATCAGCTGCAGGGGCGCCTTTTCCGTTTCCTCTGAGGGTTACAGGTGCTCACCCCGGTACCGTGCCGCAGCAATGATATCTCGGAGTTCCTCCCAGTGCGCGCGTTTGCACGCGACGGCCTGAGTTTCATCCTTGTGGATGATTTGTGCGCAATTGCGAGCAATGTGTTCTGCGGCTCCGTCCGTGCCTAGTGTTGTTTTCATACGTCGACGCGAGCGATCTTTTTAAACCAGGTAATGATGAGCATTAGCAGTCTTCCGAATACCCTTGAGCCGACCCCTCGGTTTACGGATCAGGCGCGCCGCTCTGCTCTGCATGGCGGTTGCACTCAGCTTTAAGTGGATGGTCATCTTGCACAGCTTTACGTATTTAACGAAAATATTGCTTAATAAAAGGGTGGCAATACTGTACTTGTTCACGGTGTCGATGCTGCGCTATGGATGCTGTCTTTTATTGCCGTTATTCCCATACTGTGTCTCCCGTCCGGTTATCTTTGGTGCATGGGCCGCCATCAGGCGGAGAAGGTGGAGCGGAGGGCCGCCATTGAGGATGGAATGCGGACTCAGGGCATGGCGGAACCTCACGGAGCGACGGGTGGTCGGCTTGGCGCACAGCACCTCATGGCCCACAATAGCGGACACCCTCAAGATAATGCCACGAACCCGACGCGGCCACGTGAGCAGCAAGAAGGAATTCATGGGGATGCGGTCAGTTCGCCGCGGCGGAGAACTTTGCTTATCCGCAGGAGTACGCTGCCGTCCAGCAGCAAGACGAAGAGGAGCCGTACGAGGTGTGTTACCATCCGGCGTGCCATGGAGGGGCGTGCATCGCAGTTGGCGACGAGTACGTGGGGTCCATTCTCGTAGGGGCTGGGAATGAAGAGGTGATGCAGGTTGATGGAAATCCGAGCCATGGCGGCCTCGCTGCTCACTCTTGAAGGGAAATTCAGGGGAGTAGAGAAGGAGGGGCGGAATGGATTTGGTGGAGGAACGGCGTCGTTTCTGGACTGCGTTGCATCCGAGATGCACCGCATGTTGCGTTGAGTCCACTCCTTTTGTTGCTTTGCTAGGCGATGGTCACGGGAGGGATGTGTGGCGATGCGCTACCTGGCCCCTCCCATTAATCTGCCGGCTTATCGATGCCGCCTGTCATGTCTTGTTCTTTGCTGTTTCTTTCTCTTCTCCGTTCTTCTGGTGTGTGTTGCGCTCACTCTGCGCGTCACATGGAACACAACTGGACGAGAAAAAAACAAGACAGCAACAAAACAAAAGTGATTGGAACAAAACTATGTTTGAGGCCACAGCAATGTCAGACTGCAGTCCGAGTGCACCAATGCGACGGCGGCAACGCTGCAAGATGCTGTGGCCACCGCGTGCGAGCACAGTAATTGCCACCTGAACTCCGCCCACCCGGCGCGCGCGCTGTTCAGTGGTGAGGATGTTCTCCCCTTGCGTGTGCTGAATGAAGTTGGATTGGGAACCGTGATGGACGCCCTAATGGCCTGTGTGGAGACAATCCCTACACAAAGCCCTGTGCCGAATTGAATTGTGTATTAAACACCGCGGAGCAGGGGCGGGTTGCGTTTTTCGACGCCCTTTTTGCCCTCTAGTGCCTTCTCCTCGCGCCCTACGGGAGCAAATACACCGGTTCACTTTATGAAGACGGCTGGTGCCGACAGTAAGACCGTTGGGAAGTCCCTGGCGGAGCTTCGCAAATGGAAGAAAATTAACCCAGAGTTCTAGAATCCGAACTACGATGCACTTTCTGGGCACGCGACCGGCCTTTGTCGGCAGGCGGAGGGCGGTAGACTGGAAACGGCCATTCTGCATACCGACGAGATATTACGTACCATTCACGTTCCGTCGCGGCGAACGAAAAGCAACCCGGTTTGGATTAGTGAGGCAGTTGTTGTCAAGGCTTTTACCGTGGAGGGCATTGCAGTGCCAATTGTCCGGGCGACGTGTCGGACACCCTTGCTTCATCACGAAGCTTTTTTCTGGATCTCGGTGCTCTTGTTGCCGGCGTAAGATAACGTGGTGAGTTTTGGGAGCGTCTGAAGAGTGCTTTGAATAAAGTGCAGGAGAGTCCCAAATCCATCATTCTTTTCATTGATTAAATGCACGTCGTACTCGGGGCTGGCAAGTCGGAGGGCGCAATGGACGCAGCAAATCTTTTGAAGCCCTCGCGGGCACGCTGTGAGCTGCGCACGGTTGCTGCCACGTTCTTTGAGGAGTACCACGAAAACGTGGAGACGGACGCGGTGCTTGGGCGGCGCTTCATGCCGGTGTACGTGACGGAGCCAAGTGTTGACGAGTGCATCAGCATCCTCCGTGGTCTGAAGGAACGCTACGAGACGCACCACGGTGTTCAGATCACGGACAATGCGGTGGTGGTTGCCGTTCAGTTGGCTGATCGCTACATTACGGGCCGCTTTATGCCAGACAAAGCCATTGACCTCATTGACGAGGCATGCGCAAACGTGCGTGTGCAGCTCTCGTCGCGTCCAGAGGAGATTGATCAACTGGAGCGCAAGAAACGTCAGTTGGAGATTGAGGCAAAGGCGCTTGAGCGAGACAAAAAAGAAAAGTCGTCGCAGGAACGGCTGAGGATTGTCAAGGGGGATATTCAGCGTGTGGAGGAGCTTCTTCAGCCACTCTTGGCACGGTACAATGAGGAGCGTCAGCGAGTTGATGAGCTGCACGAAATGCAAACCCGTCTTGATGAGAAGAAGACGAAGCTGGAGAGGGCCGAGCGAATGCGGGACATGGAGCTTGCCGCCGACCTCAAGTACAATGCCATACCCGTTATTCAAGACCGCATCCGGTCGTTGAAGGAGAAGATTGAGCAGCAGAAGGCCTCCATGGTGCAGGAGAAGGTCACGGAGGTGGAAGTTGCGGCAGTGGTGGCGCGCTGGACGGGCATTCCGGTGAAGAAGTTAAGCCAGACCGATCGTGAGCGACTGCTGCAGCTCTCGTCGCACCTGCACCGTCGCGTAAAAGGTCAGGATGAGGCGGTGGAACGCGTCTCGGAGGCTATTCTGCGGTCGCGTGCGGGTCTTTCGCGGCCACACGCACCCACTGGCTCCTTCCTCTTTCTTGGTCCAACAGGTGTCGGCAAAACGGAGCTTGCGAAGGCGGTTGCGGCAGAGCTCTTTGACGACGAGAAGCATATGGTGCGCATTGACATGAGCGAGTACATGGAGCAGCACGCCGTCGCTCGCCTCATTGGGGCACCACCGGGTTACGTGGGTCACGAGGAAGGCGGGCAGCTGACGGAGCCCGTGCGCCGTCGCCCGCACACAGTGGTGCTGCTTGACGAGGTGGAAAAGGCACACCCATCTGTGTTCAATGTGTTGCTGCAAGTGCTGGACGACGGCCGGCTGACGGACTCGCACGGAAGGACCGTTGATTTCAGCAATGCCATCGTCGTCATGACGTCCAACCTCGGGTCTGAGCACCTTGTCCACGTGGGGAATTCACCAAAGGGATTGGAGGCGACGCGTGAGAAGGTCTGGCAGGTGGTGCGCAGCTACTTCCGCCCGGAATTTCTCAACCGCCTTGACGACATTGTACTTTTTCGCAGGCTGGGCTTTGGGGAGCTTCACGAAATCATTGATCTTATTGTTGCGGAGGTGAACGGACGGCTGAGGTCCCAGGACATCTTGCTGGAAGTAACCGATGAGGCGAAAAATTTTGTTCTGGAGAATGCCTTTGATGCCGAAATGGGCGCCCGCCCGCTGCGCCGCTGGGTTGAAAAATACATCACCACCGAGGTGAGCCGCATGATTCTTGCGCAGCAGCTTCCGCCGAACAGCACTGTGAGGGTGTTGTTGGACAGCAGCCAGGGCAAACTTGCCTTCAGCGTTAAGCGCTCGTTTGTGTCGGAGTGAAGTTTGGGCTCCAAATTCACGAGGAGTGCTGCGGGTGGAGGGGGAAAAGAAAGTCGTTTTTTTTATTGTGGTTTTTATTTGAGGTATTATTATTATTATTATTATTATTATTATTATTATTATTATTATTATTATTATTATTATTATTATTATTATTATTATTATTATTATTATTATTATTATTATTATTATTATTATTATTATTATTATTATTATTATTATTATTATTATTATTATTATTATTATTATTATTATTATTATTGAGTTCATCTGCTTTTCCCCTTCTCATTGTGGGCATGATCGCCGGGCAAACCACTGCTGTCAGGGGACCGGCTTGTATTACGGTGTTATTGTTATTCCACCTCAATATATATTGTTATATCTATTTTTTTATTACATACGCAGGGTAAACAGAAACGGGAAAAACGGCTAGGAGTGGAGTGGTTTCTTATGTGACTACTGCCTGGCGTGTCATGCCTGAATCACTTTTTTTCACATGGCCCATGGTGTGTCCTCCCCTTTTCTATTTTTGTGTGTGTCTACCTTCATTGCATCTTTTTTGTTTTCTGGGATGTTTGGCGCCAGCACGCGTGATTCCTGCTATACATGCTGCCGGGGAGTGACGACTTCACAAACACCGAATGGCATCCGCAGAGCTGGATGCATGACCTGCGCTCGTTTATTGGCGAAATGGCCATAACACAATTGTGTCTTCTGGGCTCTCACGACGCGGCATCGTACGGCATTCACAAGGATTCACCATTTGGTGCGGACGCGCCGGGGTTTCTTCTTGGTGACTCGGTCCTTGCTTCTCTGTCACGCTTCCTTTTCCGCGGGATCTGTGCATCTTGGTCAAAGTGTCAAGGGATGTCTGTACGCGCGCAGCTGGACTACGGTGTGCGCTATCTGGACCTGCGCGTTGCGACAAACCCAGAGGACGCCAACCGACTGTACACATTACATCATCTAATCTCTGTGCCTCTGGCTGATGTGATTGAAGATGTGAAGGCGTTTCTCAATGACCCCTCCTCTGCGAATGAATTTATTGTGCTGGATTTTCAACACCTATATCTCACGGATGACAGTGACGGGAAAGGTAAGTTTTTCAGGGAGTTGGACCGCCTCTCAGATCGCTTTATACTCGTCAATGTGCCGCTCACAACGCCGTTGGAAATTTTGTGGAGGGTCTCGTCCAGGCGTCGCATCTTTCTTGTGGTGGGCAGTGGAGAGGATGAGTCACCATACCCCGCGGCGCGGATTCGCTCTAAATGTATGGTATCTCGATGGGTAGATGAGAATTCGTTGAGTAAGCTGCTGGAGGCCCTCGATAATTTGCTACTGGACGATCTAAAGTATCCCCAGACTGGCGTGCCTTCAAAACTGCACGTTACACAGGCTGTCTTGACGCCACGCTATAGTGACATTTTTCTTGGCATCTTCCCGAAGATATCAAGGAGGATTGCCTCGAGTATTTATGACATGGCAACATGTGCGAACCCGTCCCTGCTTGAGTGGTTTTATTTGCTGAATGCAAATGGGCTTTTGGATGGTATGAAGGTGATGATTCCATCAGGGATAAACACACACGAAAACATACTTATGCTGGACTGCGTGGAACTGGGCCGCTGTCAGATAATGGACGGCACGACGGAGACAAATGCCGTTGGCATGTGTGTATACCTTAACATCCTACGCGCGTCACGTCTATTTGAAGATTCCTCGGCAGCGCCGTCTTTGAATGAGGGTTAGCTGCAGTGACGCGGCAATGAGAAAGGCCGTGAGGGGAGTGGGTGAGTCTTCTCCCACTCCTCACATTTAATCGTTTTTTTTTCTTCCTCGGATATTAATGGGCGTTTTTTTTCTGCTTTTTTTTTTAGGGGCTTTTGAAGAGAACGATCTCGAGAAAGTTGGCTGACTAAATATATATATATATATATATATGCTAAGAAAACGAATACACTTTTTTATGATACTTTTTCCTCTCTTGTGAATTGTGGGAAGAACATGACTTTAAGAGGGGATAATGGAACTGATAGCGACAAGGCAATTTTTTATTTTTACCATACCACCCCCTTGATTCCCATATCGCGGTGGGGTATTGTGGCTGGAAGAGCCCAAAAATTTCCACTTCGTAAGAAATAAATAAATATATATAAACATAAACATGCAATTACTAGGTGTTGAAGTTTGAGGATATGGTGAACCCGCTTTCAGTTCATTCTTTCCTTTCTTTTTTTTACCGTGTTTGTTTTCTATCATTGAGAAACTTAGGATTTTGCCGGCGCTTCAGAAGGTTATTCTGTGCTTTGTTTTGTTTTTCTCTTTCTATTTGATGCCGGTTACTTCTCGCTGCCCATCCGCTTTATTTGCGTTGCGGGCGTTCCGCAAGCTTACGGGAGACGTTGCTGAAATTTCTCATTCTTTCTTGTTGATTTATACGACGTGGCCGTGTAGAGGCAGGGCGCTGCGGAGATGAGCCATCCTCACGAGCAGCAGCCAATACCGCCCAGTAGCATGCGTGCATTTGTGGCGTGTTCCACATTCTAGTTTGGCGGGATCGTGGGCCTGGGGGCATCGGTGGCGGCATTGTCGTTTTCAAATACCCACGATAGGGCCTGCGCGGCTGTTGTGCGAGACCGTTTGAGCGTGCGGTGGTGCGCCTCACGCGGGAGTCCCTGTCGGTCTACCGACCCACTGAACGCGGGCTCCGTGCTGAGTTGAGCTGGCGGAGCTTGCGGGAGAGACGCCGCCACGTGTTCAGGAAGGGGGACCGGGTGCCGTACTACTTTGCCTTCTTCATGCATTCAGGCATTTTTCCTTCTTAGGTCGAGGACGTCTTGGCGGCGGACGGGATCACCACCGCGCTGCAGCTCCTGTGTTTTGCGGACGCGACCCTTTGCGTCCCCGGTGCAGGACGCGGGGCAGTGGTTCGTGCAAAACTGGTCGTTGCCGGTGCCCTCTGCAGGAAGCCGTTTCCCGCTGACTTTGTCGACGCGTGTGCCCGTGATTCAGCGGGGTGGTCCGATGGGCGAAGTGCTGCGGCGTATTCGGATGCGTGAGGAGGAAATGCGTGAGGCCATTTTTTACGTGCCGCCCCGTCGATCGTACGCAACTTCGCTCGGAACTGAGAGGCGGCTGAAAACTCGCTCGCCGCCTCGCGGATCGTCGTCTCCTGCGCCACGCCCAAACTCGCAGCCGCTGCCTCGCCACATCGCCGCAGGCACATCGGCGGACGTGGGTGCCCCGCCTCTGCCACGCACGGTTCGCGTCTTGCTCACTCCGTGGCGCAATTTCCTGCCGGAGCGAGGCGGAGACAGCCTCTGCGATGCATGGGCTTCTGCATCTTCTGGAAAAGGAGAAGAAAAGGAACGTCTTGTTTGAGTCTCAAGGAAGGTGCATCCGTGCCCTCCGTCTTATGGAGGAGGCAAATGCCCCCTTTCTTCGCGCCAGCAGGTAACGGCCACCAACGGTGCCCCTCCTCCCGTGACGGCCAGCAGAAGCCTTGCAAGGGGCCACAAGACATGGGCGGAAAATAGGCTTTTTAGACAGTGTGCGATGGCGGGTACGCATGACTCGAGCAGCCGCCACAGGCATTGCGCACACAGCAGCGAGCTTCTGGAGGCATGTTGTCGACCGACGTCGCTGTGAAGCGTGAGGAAAGGAGGGAGAGTGAGGCAGTCACACCAGCCTTGGCGTCAATTGGCACGCAGATGGAGAGCAATGAGGAGTTGAATGGGGCACGTCGGATGGTATCACAGCGTAAGACTGAGCAGCAGCGGCAGCAACAATTGCCTGTCGACGGCCTTTCGGATTCAGAGGCTCTGGCACGAGAAGAATGGTGCCTGGAATTGTCTTATGGGAAAGAAGAGGCGGCCACAACCGAGTCGCGGCCAATTGTGAAGAGGAATCCCTCTCCCGCAGTTGCCGCTGCTGCAACAAAGGCGGCGGAGGCATGCTCAGCGACGCCAGCAGAAGGTGGTGGCGTGTTGTGCAGCAACTGGGAGGAGCCGCGCCAGCGAGAGGCGGGGAGGACATACGACAGTCAGACGGCCACGCAAGAGGCGAGGGGGAAGCCGCCATCCGAGGCTCTTGAAGAGAAGAGGGGTGGTGCAGCCCCTCAGCGGGAGCAGCGCGAAGTGCAGGAAGGGATCGCTGCAAAAACAAAAGGTGCGCTACGGGTGTGTGGGACGTGGAAGGAGTATAGGGATGCAAATATTGGCCGCCTCTACTACGTCAACACGGAGACCAAGCAACGTACATGGAAGATCAAGGAGACGCCCTTTGCAAACGAGTGATTGATGGCATGCTTGTATATGAGGCCGACGGGGCATCATGCGGCTTACGCTGACGCTCTTGTTTTGGTCACAGCTCCTAGTAATATAAGGGAGCGGAGAGAAGACAAAGAAAAAGACGGTGTGTGACTTTTGCCCTCTTATCATTATTATTGTTTCACCTCTGTTCCCCATTGGGGGGTGCGTCTCCTTGTTTCTTTTTTTTGCATCAAAACAGCCACCACGTTGGGGTTTTGGCTTGAGGAAGCGGCGCGCAAAGGAGCGAGCATAAATTGGCGATGCACACCTGCAGTTCCTGGAGCCGTACGTCCGTTGCAGAGGTTCGCTTCGCTTTGCTGTAACTGTGATGCCGACGCTTCACCCTCAAGTGCGTGGGTGCGTCTCCGTCAACATGCATCTCTCTTCATTTTCTCCTCTGCTCCATCGCAAAGCAAAAAAGCTAGGCGTCGTACAATCTATTCACAACAACAACAGCCAATAATGACTACGTGCCGTCTGCTGTGCACCCTGTTGGTGCTCGCCCTGTGCTGCTGCTTATCCGTGTGCGTGACAGCGAATGCTAATTCTTCCAGTAACACAACTACAACCACGACAACGACAAAGCCACCAACTACGACCACAACCACGACAACAAAGGCACCAACTACGACTACAACCACGACAACGACAAAGCCACCAACGACGACTACAACCACGACAACAAAGGCACCAACTACGACTACAACCACGACGACAGAGGCACCAACTATTACGACGACAGAGGCGCCAACCACGAAGACCACCCACGCACCGTCACGTATTCGCAAAATTGACGGCAGCTTCGGCAACGCTGCGTGGGTGTGTGCCCCGCTTGTGCTTGCCGTATCCGCGCTGGCGTACACCACTCTGGGCTGAGGAGGTGTGCGTGGGCTGTGCGTGCCAGCACTCAAAGCCACTGGGACATGTGTACGTCTCTTGTGGTCCGATGTATAAAGTAAGAGTAATTATTATGATTGTTTTTTGCTTTGTTTGCTTCTGCTGCCGTGCTGTGTGCTCCGCGTTGCTTCCCAGCTCCGTCACGTTGCAAGCATCGCGGGCACACTCATATGCATGCGTACTGAAGCTTTGGGCGTTTTTCTTTCTTTTTAAAAAGTCTTTTTTTATTATTGCAACTTTTTCTTTTCAGGGCGTTGTGCTTTTTTTGTCCTTGTGCTGGTTCCATCTGCGTCGTGGTGTGTGCTGCTGCTGCGGTGGTGGCCGCGTGAGAGTGAGTGTGAAAGAGCCGTGCACCGCCCGCACACACACTCTTCCTTCTCTCCGTGTGTGTCTCCCCTTGCATGGACTCTCGCCCTCACCTCACCCCACGAGGCACACACAATAATGTGCCCATTGTATATATGCATGCACACCCATGCAGGCCCGTTGGTGCTCTCTTTTGCACGACACGCACCGCTGCCGTCCTGCCTGGCTGCATGGGCGGAGCACCGTAAGAGTTTTTTTTGTTTTTATTGCATTGAGTGGGCGACCTCCCTCTCTCCTGTGTGTGTGCGTTTTGTTTTACGGGAGCAATGAGAGTGTGTGCGCTGGTCGTCCCACGCTTCGGCTTTTTGTTTTTGTTGTTTTGTTTTTTTGAGTCTGTACTTGTGTTGTGTTTGGGTGCACCCGTTCTGTGGGCTGTGTGTGCGTTTGTGTTTTTCAGTTTTTTTTTTTTTTCTGTGTTGTGTGTCTTTGCGCAGTTGTGTGCGATGCGAACAGACCGAAATGATTATTTTCATTGACCTTTTTTTTTTTTTAAATTTTGTTAATTTTTTAAAGTTTTTTTTTTTTTGCTGTTTTTTCTTTTTTAATTGTTTTGACTGCGTTCATCCGCATATGCGCATTGTGCCTCGCTCTGTGGCTTTGTGGCGGGTAAATAATGCATCGCAGGTTTTCTTTTTATTTTGCTCTTTTTTTGCCATTTCTTTTTTTCTTTTTTTTTTTTTTTTGTGTGTGTGTGTGTTTTCACACGAATTTTGTTTGATTTGCGTGGCAGCAGGAAGGGTGGTGGCGTGGCGGTGGCGCACATGTTACGCGTCAAAATTGCAGGGTTTGCTGCGGGCTCACTCACGACGCTTGCGCTCTACTACCAACTCATTTGTTTGAGGGTCATTGACATACACGCGGCGCATTCAAAGCGCCTGCAAACAATGGGACAGGATCTCCTGCGGGCATCGTGCGAGGTGTCGCAGCTCCTGCACGAAAAAGGCGGTGAATTTGTCTGAAAGCACATATTTGTTGTCAAGATGACGGCGGCAACAACAACAACAAAGACAAAAACAAGAAAAATCCTTTTTTATTGTATTTACTTGCATCTCCTATCATTTCTTTCCACGCTCTGTGCTGCACATCACCCTGTTGTGTTCTTGAGGAATTTAGCCTGTTTTTATGTATGATGCACTTTGGCTTGCGTCTCTCTCGCCACCTTGCGTTGAAGGGAAAAAGAACTGGAGAAATAGTTGTCGTTTCTCTTTTTCTTTCTCTCCCTCTTTATCTCCCTCCCTCTCTCTCTCTCTGTGTGTGTGTCTAGGGAGCAGAGCGCTTTGTTTTGGCGGGGCTGGTACGCAGATTGGAGACGTTACCGTAGGGGAGACGACACTACAAGTGGCACCACAGGAAGGAAACCGTAAAGAGAAACGTAGCCACTGGAAGGAATGACTGATCCGACGGCTGCGGCTTTGCTTCACAACACTGCCACGCGTGTGACTTTAGGGAATACGCCGCTGCATGCTGTGCCGGTGACGGTGGCCAAGCAGTTGAAACCCCTGCTGGAATCAAGCACTTCATTGACTGTCTTGACGGTCCACACACAATTCACTCCTCCAGAATCCTTAAGACTTATTCTACTCGGTGCATCGCGCTGCCGCAGCCTGCAGCATATGCGACTGGTGGGAGGCATCAGTGTGCTGCAGTCAAAGATGATTATGTCGGCTTTCATGCAGTTTACTTTTGCTCGAAGAACATCGAGGACGACCTCTGCAGTGAGACCTTTTAGTGATCCTGCAGGGCGTTGTCCGCATACGCCTCTTTCAAAGCGTCCATCGCCAGCTCAAAGAATCCGTCGCAACGTTGTGGTGTCCGATGCAAAAATGACCACTGGCGGATGCCAAACTGGTGGATATGGTCGACTGAACTCTCCCGCATTGCGAAACATGGAGGTCTCTAAATCACCATCACCGCGCTTTTCTTGGTTGAATGGAGTGCAAATGGTATTAGACCTGCATCACCTTGATGACGTTGTGGCGGGTTTTTTATTAAAGGGACTGGAACGATCAGAACGCATTATTGGACTTGATCTTCACATTGCCCCCACATCACAGGCTGCCACACGTGCAGCGGTACGTATGCTATCGCATGCAAATGTGATTGTTGCCCGCAACGCCCGACGTGTACGTTACCTTCTAAGCCAGAATCCTCCAGTTGATGCAGCTTTTTTTCGGGGCGCGGATAAGCGGGACAAAACAGATTTTTCTTTGTGCTCGCCACTTCCTGAGGATGTTTCAAGAGCGGAGCAAAGAGAGCAGGTGAGGGAAGGCGGAGAAAAGGAGAAGGAGGAGTGGGGAAGGGAGGCTACGACCATGAGACAGGGGCTGTCAACGTTCGATTTGAATACACTTCCGCCGCGGCGTTATTCCCCACCGCGACTGTTGTCAGGAGCGCCACCAGACCCTTCATTGCGACCAATGCAGCCGCATGTGGTGAGTGCAAGCCCTCGAATTTTTGACAATGGCGAGTTGGAAATGGGGCACATGTCACGGCGTGGCGAGCAGAAGCAGATGGAAGAGGAGGCATCCCATGAGAATGAATGCTTCGTATGCTCTGGGGGGTCGTTATACACACCAGAAAAGATACAAGCATCAAAGATCCCTCCAAATACAATAAATAGGTGTGCGGGGGAAAGACGGGAAGACGGATCGTGTGCATGGCCGGCACCAAAAGACCCTTTGGAGACGACGCAACCGAGTCCCTCCTTTTCGCGCCACACACCGTGTTCACCCCCCTCGCCACGGGGGCAGTTTGTGCAACACATTCGATATCTCCACGGGTGTATGCGGGAGATCAACGGCGTTGTGGTGCGCTACCAGATGGAGAGTCGTGACTCCATACAGAGATTGGTTGCCGAGATGCATGTGTTGGAGGAGCAGTTGACAGAAAGGGTAACTTCCAAACTAACGGACGTGTTGTTGTCCTTGTCGGAATTGGAAAAGCAGGTCGAATGATACCTTAAAAAAAAAAAAAAAAAATTATTATTTAAATTTCTATTTTTACTTTTTTTTTTTTGCGCACATCTTTCGGCGAAGAATCCGATTTGAATACAGAGCCTCTTATTTGTTTTTTTTTCTTTTCTTTTTTTTTATTTTTTATTTTGTTGTTGTTTACTTTTTTATTTTTGGGTTTCATGTTGGTTGGGATTTATTGCTTTTGTTTGAGGGAGAGAGAGATAGTATTGGGTTGAGGGATTTAAAAAATAAATATATAAATATATATATATATATTTTAAATTGGCGCATGTGCATGCATTTATGTTTGTGTCTATGCATGTGTGCTGCAGAAGAGGAGGGAGCATGAATGCAATTCCAGTTGCTCTTGTTTTTTTTTTTTTTTGTCATGTCTGGTGACGTTTTACCGGTAATATATATATATATGACACTTATTATTGTCATTACCTGAATTTTATCTCTTATGGTCTTTTTTGTTGTCACCGACACCAGATGCTCGTTGTTTGTGTACCGAACCTTTTTTTTTTTTTCTTTTTGGTGTGTGTGTGTGTGTTTTGGCTTTTGTTCCCGCGGGAAGGATTTACAGAGAAGCAGAAGCAGCAGCGGATGCCTCCAACGGCTCTGGTTGTTGGGCAGAGCGTCATGAAGGCGTTTCAGCACCTGTCGACGCAGGATCTACACACACGTCGCGTGGAGGAGGCGTACCGCGTTGTGGTGGAGTGCATCACGGCGGTGGATCCGGCAATGCGACTGTACATGTTTGGCTCCACCGCAGTGTACGGTGTACACGAAAAGGGCAGCGACGTGGATTTTGTCGCGCTCAGCAAGACGGATGTGGAAGATGGGAAGGGCGAAGACGCCGGAACGCAAGTGGCGAAGGGACTGCAGGCAGAGTTTCTTGGAAAGTTGGCCAGAGTAGTACGACAGAAGCACTTATCGTGGAATGTGGAGGAGGTGCGACGCACACGCGTCCCAGTCATTCGTGTGAAAGGCGGTAGCAGCGTTGACTTTGACATCACCGTGAATCGGCGCAACGGGGTGCGAAACAGCGCGCTTCTGCGGGCCTACTTTGAACAGGATCCGCCGTGTCGCTGGCTAAGCATGGGCGTGAAGCGGTGGAGCAAGAGGGCGGGGCTAAATGCTTCTGTAGTTGGTGGAAGCATCACATCGTACGGGTTCAATTTGATGGTGGTGTATTACCTGCTTCAGCGCGGGGCACTGCGGTTTATTGAACCACACGCCATTGACGTTGCCAACGTGGCACCGGTGCCTCCGTACTTGCCACTGGAGCCGCCGAGGAATGATGGGGCGGAGTTGGGAGAGCAGGTTTTGGACTTTTTGGCGTTTTACATGCATGAGTTTGACGCAGCCCGTCATGTTGTCTCACTGAGCCGCCCAGGGATCACAACGAAGGAGCAGTTGAACTGGACGAAGAATGCGGAGGATCTTGCCCGCATGAATGGAGAGAAGATCAACTACCAGTGGTGCATCGAGGACCCCTACGAACTGAACTTAAACGTCGGCAGAAATGTGACACCACTGAAGCGTGACTTTCTTCGCAAGCACTTGGAAAAGGCACGGGAAACGGCCCTTCTAACCACCACCGAATAATAATGTGCCGACCGTTTCTTCCCGTGTTATTCAATATTACTCACATTTACATTTGGACGCCGCTGATGACCAGCCGCGGCAGAAGAACGGAACACACACACGCACACACACATACACCGAAAAATGATAACGAAAAAAAGAGGAAATAAAGCTAGCAGCTGTCGATTCTTCCTTTATTATTATTTTGCCTTTCTTGGGTGTGTCTGAGACGTGCCCCTTTGCTTGCGCCTCACGTTGCGTTTATCCTTCTTGTTTTTTTTTCTTTGACTTTTGGCGCCGCCGTGTGCCACGCTCAACACCCATTTAGAGGCGAGGAAACGGTGTTGGAAGTGAAACGAGGCGAGGCTCATAAGAGCGGCTTACGCGCACACAGACGCCGTTGCCAGGGAAAGAGGAAAACTGACGCGAGAACAATAGCGCTAACAACAACACGAAAGACATAAATTAAAATCAAAAAGAAAAACACAAGGCAAACTCAGGAATAAAATATTTTATCACAACTACAAGATGCGTCGCTGGTCGGGCCTTCCACTTGCACCTTTGTGGGGGCTAATTGGGCGACGCAGGGTGTCGGGTGACGACCGCTCTGGTGATAGCAGCGCATTTCTTAGCGATGATGAGGCGTTACGCGGGGAACTTGCTTCCGCGCTAGAGACGGAGGGAGAGGCCGCCCCGTTGGATATCATGCAGCACCATCCCTTAGAGGCTGCGACGATGAGCAGCAGCACTAGCACCATTTATTTGGAGAAAATTGCCCGTCCTCCTGCTCGTTTTGATCTTCTCACAAATTCTTTTGTGTATAAGTGGCAGACTAAGGCGGCATTGGCTCGCAAAGTCTCAGGACCCATGCGGGAATGGGCAGCGGAGCTGAAGTATAGAACGGGAGTGCATATGGAGCTGGAGCCCACTTTTCCCGAGCGAATACCGGATGAAGAGAGCAAAACCGGTGAGGGAGATACCTACGAGACGGCAGATGATGTGGACATTACAGTGTATCTCTTTGGATCTGAACGTGGGATCTTTAACTGTCATAAGTTGATGGAGACTGCTATACAGCAGGATCCTGTGTATGTGCGTCTGGGTGTTTTTAGACGGCTCCACGGTTCAAACGAGGTGGAGTGGTTGATGTTGCGCCGTATCAATCGCGAGATGCGGCCGCCTGATATTCCGCCTATTTCTCTTAAACTACCAGGGAAATGGACACTGCTATACGAGCGCTACAAGGAGGCAGCTATTCGTACGCTGTGGGAGGAAACGGGAATTACCGTTGATCCTACCAGCGTCTTTCCAACAGCACAGTTATACCAAACTTCCCCGAAGTATTACTGGCGTGTCCCTGTGCGTTATTTTGTTGCTGAAGTACCGCACGACGTGCGCGTGGAAGGACCACAGGTGGTTCCAACACAATACATGCGAAACTGGGATGTGCGTCTTCTCCGCCAGTCCCCGGACCCTATCGATCGTGCTTGGGCGCAGCTGGCGGACCCTATCACTGGATGTGCATGGATGAAGGCTCCCATGATTGATGAACTGCAGAAGCCACTTCGGGGTGAGAAGTACATGGCCACACGGTATACGCCACCGCCATACTCCAATCTTCAGGAGGTTGTGGGCCTTGGCGATGGTGACCAGGACACGCAGAATAAAGAAACCGAGGCTGCTGACCCAAATGCATAGCAGGAAGGAACATTAATGTGTGTGTGTGTGACTGTGAAAGAATGGTGGCTGATCATCTTTTCTCTTGCGACTGGAGTTAAGTTTGCTCGGACGCCAGAGATGGACGTGCGTGGAGGAACAGAAGCAGAGGAAGGTTACGGGATGAAGAGTGGAACAAACAACAAGTGGTTGGGAGTGGGGGCGGATAAATCGCTTGTACGTGTGTGAGAGGGAGGGCTGGAATAAAGCATTTGTCCACGTGGTGACCACAACGAAAGGAGAAAGTTTTGGAGCGGGACGCGATAAAAAAAGGATTTTAGAGAGAGCGCGAGAGAAATGAGGGAGAGGAGAGAGGAGTGAGAGATTTGTCTTTTTGTTTTTGTTTCTCTGTGTGTGTTTCTGTTGCCGAATGAGAAGGGCTGCGTGTTTCCCCTTTCACCGGCGGCATCATTAGCGGTGTCCACATACCGGATTCCCTGTCTTCCCCTGTTGCCGTTTCACACGTTAAAATTCTACTTATTTGTTTGTGCAAGAGAGTGGGCGGGCGGTTCTGTTATTTTCTTGCCGCACTGGCGTGGACACACAAAAACAAAAAAAAACAAATTCTGCTCTATACTTTTTTTTTTTTGATGATTTCTTCAAACGCTCACATATGTCAAGGAGGAAATGCCACCAAAGAGGCGGCAGGGTGCGCGTGGCGGCGCTCTGGGTGCAAAGCGCAGTGCGGGATTTGAGGAGTTTTACGCCGGTGTTTACGGCACACGGTGGCCTGCGCTTCGGAAGGCGTTGACTGCGGCGTCACCGAAGAAAGTGTTGCTGTGGAACCGATTTTGTCAGTTGCCCTTCGCGAAGGTGATGGCGAACATGAAGCGCATGGACGAGGAGTCGCTTCTGCAGGTTTTTCGGTGCCAAGATGGGTGTGAGGTGGCGCCGCCTGCCAGTGACGCGTTTAACGTCAAGGCGTACTACCCGTTGGATTACGCCTCCGCACTGGTGGTGGAGCAGTTGGAGGTTGGCGCGTTTGATCGAGTGCTTGATGTCTGCGCTGCTTTTGGTGGGAATTCGATTGGAATTGCGCAGTTTCTTTCCGCAGACGGGGCGCTGACGGTAAATGAGCCAAATCATGAGCGTAGCGCCCGGCTACGACGCAATATTAGGGAGTACATTCCGTCAAATTATGTTCCTGTGACCATCACCCAACGCAATGCTGAGACATGGTATGCGCCTTCGATGTACCACCGCGTACTCGTTGATGCTCCGTGTTCAGCTGAGCGTTATTTTTTGCAGCGCGACGGTGGCGCTCCCGTCAGTCCCAAAATGTGGACGGAACAGACATCTCTGGAGTTGAGCCGCAGAGGGTGTGTGTTGCTGCTGCGAGCGCTGGAGACTTGTCGGCCAGGCGGTCGTGTTGTGTACAGCACTCGCTCCCTTTCCCCCTTGGAGAACGACGGTGTTGTGGAGGACGCACTGCGGCGAACCCGTTGCCAGGTGGAGGTGCATCCAACAACGTTGTGTAACATGGGTGAGAAGACACGTTACGGCCATATCGTTCTCCCAGACACAGCTGGGGGGTTTGGCCCACTGTTTTGTTGCGTCATTCACAAAGTGTCTGATAGGCGAGAGGAGGTTGACAGCAATGAAGAGGGGGAGGAATGTGAATATGATGATGAAAATGGGGATTCATAACACCACATTGAAGAATGCAATAACGAGTAATGGCCAATAACAAGAGGTCCCTAAACTACACTAAATTACATTACTTTACATGCGGGGTGAAAGGGTATTTTTTTCCGCCTTTCTTTTGCTCCTCAAACTCTTTGTGTGGGTTTCTGTGAGAGGAGGTTGCGTTGCAACTAGAACTATTATTATTATTATTGGTTGTCCACACTCTCTTTATTTCTGTCTTCTCTCCGTGCCATTCTTTTCTTTTTTTTTTTTTTTTCAGTTTTGCCATATTGAGGCGGGGAGATTTCTTCATCCCATTTATTACCACTGGTCTTGGCATTTTTATCGTTTTGGTGCTTGTACTGCGTTTGGGTTTTGTATTATTCATGAGGAGTGGCTTGCACGCAAACTTTGCATGAGGCATTGGTCACCGTGGCGGTGCGTGGGAGCGGCAGCGGCAACAGGAGCACTCATTCACCGCCGGCAGTTCATTGCGGACGGTCTCTATGATTGCCGTGCTGGGGCTGCTGGGAAAGACGACACTTCAAAGTACCGCCTTCCGCTTAGGCGTGCCCTTCACTTCGTTGAAAAAGGAAGACAGCTTGCTGGAGCCGTCGTCGAGAGAGAAGGAGGTGGTGGTGAGGCCCTGCCCAGCAACAGGGAAGGATCTTTGCTTCATGAGGATGCTGCACGTTACGCTGCCTACCACTGTCACCATATGCTGACATCATTTCGTGCGGAGCGGCGGCAGTGGACAAAATTAAAGGAGTTCTCCTTTGACGAATTCACACGTGTAATGGAGTACTTGTTTTTTGCGGCTCTCCTACTGCACCTCACCGCGCTCTATGAGACGGCGGACAAGTACTGCGAGGCGCTGATTGACGTTGCAATGTCTTGTACAATTTTTCTTTCTAAAGACGCCGACGGACTACATCATGCTGATATGCTTCGACAGGGCCGTAGCAAAAGTACTGATGCGAAGGTGGCGTATTTGTCTAACGGGGAGGAATTCGAGGCAAGAGACGAGCCGTGGAATTCATTACACTGGGCGATAGTGCACTTTAGTCGCGGTGTCTTTGCCTGGGGTCTTCTGGACCACACAGAGCTCTTGTTTGACATGAAGCGGACCATGAAGCCTTACTCCGGAATGGTTCGAACATTTGCGAAAATCATCTGTGAGCGTCTTGCTGGGATGAGTCTGTCTGCCGAAGATCTGGCATTTTTGTCTTGCCTCTCAACGGAAGAGGGAGCTGGCAAATGGCTTGGAACTGCAAACATCTCTGCAGTCTCTTCAACGGATGTTTTTGCACGTGCTGATAAAAATATTGTGGAAGCAACGCTTCATTTTGCCCAGCAGCGCCGTCTGCAGATTTTGCCGCTTATGTGGATGGCGCTACTGACTCGTCACTCCGCCATAATTGGGGCACCGCGTTGTTTCCAGCCTGCGCGTCACGCCCTGTTGAACGCAATTCCACTTTTTCAAGAGGAAGCCGAGGCGGACACTGCACTGAAGCTTCTTGCGCAGTGCTGTTACTTCCCATCATCCTCGCTTTTAAAGGCAAGCTCTGTCGAAGTGGGCGTTCTCCTCTCTCAAATGGAGCGGCACGGGGTGTTCTCTTCGTCAGAATTTATGCTTGTGGAGTTACTCCAAGCGTGGATGCGCGTGGAGGCCCCAGAAGAGTTGTCTCCGTCTGTGAAGTCCGCTTATGGGGCGTACATGGCTTTTCGAAACATTCCCCGCTGCGCTCTTCGGGTGGTGGGAAAGCCATACACCGCCAAAAGCGATGGCGAGGCCTTTGTGCATGAACTTTTGTTCCATGCTTTGGTGCAGTGGTCATCTTGCCTGTCGGTTAGGGCACCGTTTCACAGGGAGGTTGAGGAGCTTTTGATATCTGCGCGTTATGTGGCGTCATTGTTTGACTCTATTAGGCAGCATGGGAAGGATCGAGATAGTGTGGGTGCCGCAGTACTTGTTGTTGAGGCGACGTTTCGTGCCTTTGCCGTGCGGGTGGCAGACATTTGCACCCGGGGCAGATTGGTAGAGAGTATGTCACCGTCTGATTTAGCGGAGTTTGATCGTCTTGTGGACCATGTGTTGCGGGAGGGAACTGAGGGAAGCGTGGGGGGCTGTGTGCCTCACTGTACGAAGGAAACCGGCAACTGTGGATTTACAGTACGCGGCGGAATGGATCTTGAGAAACTGACTTGCTATGTACATTTCTTCATCTTTTTCATTTGATTTTCTCTCTCTTTATGCAATTTTTTTATTTTTATTTTTTGGTTGTTGCTTGCTTTTAAAAGCATTTTTTCCCATGAACGTGCCTTTTTTTTTTTTTTTTTGCATTCTTGGGTTTCCCGCAAAGGCCGAATCGAACATTAGTTACACGGAGTGAGAGAGACAGAAAGGGCAGAGAAGAGAAGGAGTGCTGCGCGCCCGTATGTATGCCCGTGCGCAGAGAGCGTCGTCTGTGCGAGAATCTGCAGGGGTTGGCGAGCATCGCTTGCCTCGCGGCTTTGAAAAGATGCCGGCATCACCGGAGGCACGTGTAGCTTGTGAGCGTGAGGCGGAGTTAGAACGGCTACACCAGTCGGTAGAAGCGGCGGCGGAGCTTGTTTTCCAACAACGCCTTGCCATTCATCGCATGAAACGCAGCGCATTTGTCTCAGAAATAAAACGACGGCCTTTTTATAATTCTGGGAGCGGCGGGGATGCGTACAGTGACGCGTTGAAGCAGTTAGTGGATTTGGAGGATAATTTGTCCCAGGAATCGAGTCGTTGTATTCGTGTATCGAACGTGACGGCCCTTCACCTCCTCAACGAGAAGCAGTACTCACGTACGCTGCAGATATTACTTAGAGTGGAGGCCCTTGCCCAGAAGGGGGCTGGAATGTGGTTTCCTCTTTTTTTTAGCACGGAGTGTGGCATGGTGGGTGCCGGGGAATTTGTTCATTTTGCAGGGGATCGTCGCAGCGGGGATGAGGAAGGTGTGCGGGAGATATTTGTTCCATTCTTCACTACACGTCATGAGAAGATGCGACAACTTGTCCTTGCTGTGATCGATAATAATATTGGTTTGTATCATTTCAAGATTGCGGAGTACGAGCTGGCGGTGCGACGCATGTCCCGCGCGCTCCACCTGGAGGAGTTGTTAGGGGTGGAAACAATTGGAGTGACTTACTTTAATCTTGCGCAGGCCCAGTATGAGTGTGGTAGTTTAGAGGACGCCTTTTCGGCCATCACTTTGGCAGAGGAGGCGATTGAGAAGCGCGTTCACGAGTACCAGTCTCAAAATAACCACCTTCGCTGTACTGTTGATTGCAGCGGCAGTGGGGTGAACAACATTCCGGGATTAGAGAGACGGCGGCTTGACGTCTACATCGGCTGGCGAGAGGGTGTGTGTTTGCTCTCACGTGTGTTGGAGGCTCACGGAAGATGGCTGCAGAGTAGTAACGCCTACAAGCCAGCTATAAATTGTTATGAACAGAGCGATAGGTGGCTGTCGTCTGTGAAGCGGCTAAGCGCGGAGGAGAACAACTGGCGACAGGAACTGCGGCAACGCATACAGGAATGCAGGCGTTTTCAACGGCACAGCTGTTGTTTCCCCAAATCCACCGTGCTTTTTTCATCCCCCGCTCCTGGCGTGCCTTCGGGCTCTCCGCGTAGCATCGTCGTCACGACGACGCTTCCACGTAAGATTGAGATCACAGCCTGCGCGACACCGTTTGATAATGGTCAAAAGGGGACTGAAAAGGAGGGCAGCAAAGGAATTGACCAGCGGCAAACGCGGCAGCGGAAAACAAAGCACAAGGAGCATAGTGGGAAATCGCATTACAGGGATGTGTACGAGCTCTCTGCCACCACCACCAGCACTAGTAATGCTGCCGTTACTACAGGACATCATCGTTCCCGTACCGCGCCGCGCCGCCCAGAGTGGGATGCGGGTACACAAGTTGTTAATCCGGACACGACACGAGTCCGCCCGGCGACGACAGCAACGACAAGTTCTGTCGCCCACGCGAATTCAGAGGCTCGGAATTCATCACGGCTGACTTCCGTGGCAGGCACACCGCTCTCACGGGGATCCAAACACGAGCGAGGGTCGTCAGGAAAGCCAGATTTGTCGAGTGAGACGGGGTTAACGTCATCCGATGTCCGGCGGACACAAGCGTCAGCACCCGTGGCGCAGTGCACTACGCCTTTTAGAGCGCAGGCCAGTTCTAACGCCATGGCAAATCGTGCCTGGAATATCAATATTAGCGATAAATCCTTACCACTGACGAGGTTTACTTCGTCTTCAACCAAGTTGTGTCCTCTGTCACTGATGAGATGCATACACATATTGCAGGCCTTTGCACGTTCACGGGTCTCTCTTTTTGAGAAGGAATGGAGGAAGCTTCCCTGTGAGGCGGGCTTTGTTTCACCCCAAAGCCATTCACATTCTTCGTTCTCTGTATCTTTACCCTCTTCGTGGAGTGGAAGACATCTTTACGAGACAGACGGTGCGTCGCGGCTTATGTGCGGTGATGATTCTTTCTTGAAGAATGGAGGACTTTTTGTAGGGACGCCGTCTGCTCATGCTACGATTTCTTTGAATTCATGTGAGATCCTACTGGCTTTTTTGGCGGCCCGTCGTTCAGCCTCTCTGGTGTGTCAGAGGTCAATTGAGCAACGATACACGAAAGTAATGGAAGGGATTTTGCGGCAACATGCTTCCTGCGCTGGTTCTCCGTCTACAACGGTGAAAATGAGGGTGCTGCGTGACTCGGCACGGAGCCGATCATTGGAAGAGACGGAGCCTCGGAGAACAATTTCGGGGGGAGCGGCCTTTTCTCCTCACCGGACCGAGAGCTTCCCGAATAGGAATGGCGAACTGTGCCATAGAATTAGCGAAGGTGTGAGTTCCGGTGAGGGCAAAAAGAATGGTTTTTACATCTCCGAGGGAAGGCTTCACCGAAGGTATAACTCGCTTCTGCGGATGGTGCCACAGGGGAGAGAAACACCTGATACATGTCTCGATGCTGTAAAGGCAAACAATCGGTTCAATGGGGATTTGGCATCGGATACCGCAGGCGCCATGGGGTCTCAATTGTACTCAAGCATGCCAGTAACACCCCCGCTGTCAGAGGATTCAGGCAGTCGGAACAGTCGTGCGGATGAGATTCCCACGTCCACATGGCGAGCACGACGCTGGTCGGATTTTCCCTACACGCGTCAGTCGGAGAAAAATCCACAGAAGGTGAAAAATCACCCTCAAATTGTTCCTCAGCAGCGTAATGGGACTATGGGGGCTGTGAATTGCGAGGACTTCGATGCGCCAAATGGAAAGGTATACGGCAATGGCGTTCAAAATGGTCTTCCACCACGTCACCCCATCATCCGGCGGACGCCGTTGTTGACGTGTGAGAATCATGACGACATCGCGCATACCACAGCAGTGATCATTCGACAACGGCTTCTGAGGGAGGAGGCTGCCATCATAATTCAAGGGGCCTGGCACAAATGGAGGGAGCGACGACAGTTGGGGGCGGTGCGAAGAGTTGGCTATAGATAACCGCAGTGAGGAGGAACTGTGTACATATACATTTTACGATTCTTACAAGCACATTGAACGTGAGAAGTGAATAAAACAAAAAATGAATGATTGATTGAGCATGGTGTCCTTTTTTTTTTTTTCTTTTTGTATCTGCGTGATGATTATTACTATTTCCATCCCGTTATTTTGCTTCCTCCTACATATATATAGAGAGAGCGAGAAAGAGAGAGAGAAAGAGAGAAAGTAAAAGGAAGAAATTGCAATGAGCTTTTACTGAGGCTATTCTTATGAAGAAGACTTTTCTTACGGTTGCGTTTTTTTTTCTTTTTACTGACGACTGTTCTGTTACTCTACTCTTTTTTTTTTCTTTTTTCTTTTTTTCGAAAGCAACAGATGTGTCGGTTTGGACAGTACAATAATTTATTCATGCGTGAGAGTGAACTTCTGGCCTTTACGTGGATGTAAACATTCTCTGTCTTTGACAAAGTACGGGGCGGGGGAGTAGTATTTGGGCACTTTCTCACTCTGTTTGTATAATGTTGTGCTTAAGTAAACATGCATGCCTGCATACATGTGCATGGATGTTTTTTTGTGCGATTCCGGGGGTTTTCCACTAGTCAATTGTGAGGCACGGTAGCCTTGCGGACTCATCCACATTTGTGTTGGTGGAAGAGGAGCCACCGGGTGTGTGCTTCTGGCATCTGATTGATTCTCTTTTTTTTTATTTTTTATTTTTTTATTTGATTTCTTTTGCTCTCTTTTGATCTCCCCTCTCCCCGCCGTATTTTCTTTGAATTCAACGAAGCGACGAGTATTTATATTTGGACGGATGCATTGTCAATATATCAGAGCCAAAATAGAGTTTCATTGCATTACATAAAATATTTAAATACATATATATATAAACACACACCATAAATATTAACTTGTTTCTTTAAATATATATATATATATATATATATTTTTCCTTTGGCTTGTATGGCCTTTACCGACGCAGTGGCTGGAAAGACGTCACTGCCACCCCCTGTGGCGATTATCGTGGGCCACAATATTGATGCCTCCGCCATGCCACTTACGTATGAGCGAAATCGCCTTGTCATAGATATGCTGCAGCATTATGCGTGCCCTGTTTTTTCTCATAAAAAGAGCGGTGATGCCATGAATACGGTTTCAAGCGATGTTTTTGAATGGGTCTTGGAGCCCCTTCCCGTAGTTGGTGTTGAGGATATGACGGCATTTCATGACAGGGCATATTTAAATTATTTAAGTATCCGTGAGGCCTTGTCTGAGGTGGATGAGCGGGCATCAACTGTTAAGCGTTCAAGGGCTGAAGGAATTCAACCCCCCGTTTCAAGAAGATCATCTGCGCAGAACCAACCCCCTCTGCGTGTGCTACCCGACCTTGTGCCTATACCAACCGATGAAGAGTATGGCCTTGTTAATGAGAACATGCCTTTTGTAGGCATGTGGAGAACCATTCAAGCTACAGTATCAGGTACCCTTTTGGCTGCTCGTTTACTGGCTCAACCTGGCCGTTTTGCTGCGATTCATTGGTTTGGTGGAAGACATCATGCTAAGCAAAGTACTGCGGGGGGTTTTTGTTTTGCAAATGATGTGGTTCTTGGGGTTCTTGAACTGAAGAAGTTACTTTCTTCAGATAAGAAGGGTATTCTTGTAGTGGATGTGGACGCACATCACGGTGACGGCACGCAATCAGCATTTCTGCATGATAATTCTGTGTTGACGTTATCCATGCACGCGCATGGGGTTGGGATCTTTCCCGGATCCGGTGGAATTGAGGAGATTGGTGCTGGGCTGGGACGTGGCTTCACGATGAATGTCCCATTACCAGAAGGCGCAACCGATATTCTTGCCGTTACATTGATGTATCGATCGATTCATTTTGCATTTAAAAAACTGGGGGAAGGTCTGGCTGCTATTGTTATTGTCTGTGGTTCAGACGCCCTTAGTGGAGATCCGTTAGGCGCTCTCAATCTTACAGTTGGCGGGATGCAAAGCATCATCAGATTACTTCTGAAGGAAGCAGCTCGCCGCTCACTCAAGGTTCTTCTCCTAGGTGGGGGCGGCTATGTGGATACTAGTTGTGCTCGTCTTGCAGGGGTTGTCACGAAGGATGTGCTTAGCTGTGCAGCGGCAATGCGCCTGGGTAAAACGGAATACTTTGGAGACTCGGCCAATCTGGGGGATAATCTGGGTGTGGCCGTCCCTGAGGGTTGTGAGTACTTCACTCGATACGGACCGTCATTCCTCATGCATGGCCTTCCACCTGCTCGCGTAAGTAAACTATATCGGCTTCCTTATGGCTCCCCACTGTTTATGCGTATGCAGCGGGCGGCAACAAAGGAGGCTTTGCGGCGCCGGCGAAATCAAGAACAGGATGAGGAAGAGGAAGAAGAAGAGGAAGAAGAAGAGGAAGAAGAAGAGGAAGAAGAAGAGGAAGAAGAAGAAGAGGAAGTGGAAGAGGAAGAGGGAGAGGGGGAGGAAGAAGCATAGGAGAGTCTCCTATACATGTTGCTTCTTCTGCATTTGTAGTTGTCTTGCTGTCAGTCCGTAATGTTTGTGACGCATGATTTTATAGAGGTTTATATACGGGAGTTTCTCGGGGAACCTGAAGTTCTCCTACAAATGATTTTGGAGACGGAGACTTGTCGCACTTTGATGTTGCAAAGGTGCTTGCACATTGGGATGTTGCTGTTTCTTTCCCCTTTTTAATATGCCGTTTTGTTTCTGTCTTTATTATTATTATTATTATTATTATTATTATTATTATTTTTCTTTCTGCTCCTCTACATGTACTTCTATTTGATGCACATATATATTTTTTTGGGGGGGTGACGAGTGGTTTTTATACGTGTTTTTTTTTTTTTGCGAATGACCATTCGAGTTGGTGTTTCGTTTGATCTACTGGGCACGCTAGTGGATGTGCACCGTTCGTCCGGATATCAGTACGCCATTGACTTTTGTCGCTTTGTTGAAAAGAAAGGATTTGATTCTCCGCCAATAAATGTGGACGTGCTGGAAGAAAACTCCAAAAAATCATTAAAGGCAGAGATAGCAAAAGATCGTGCGGAGTGGACAGCCAAAAATCTAGGAGTCGCAGAAGAGATGCCCTTTGGGGGTGTGACAAAGGAATCGGTGGTTAAATTTTGGTGCCGTGTGGTTAATTCCACGTATGACCGCGAGGGAGCCTTTTGCGGACATGACCCGAAGACCATTTCTATCATGCAGCAGGCACAAAATAGCTCGGAGTGGGACGACTTCATCGTGAGTGTGGTGCAACGCTTTGCCACACCAGAGCCGTACAGTTGGCTTCCTGAGACCCTTCCAACGCTTCATTCGCTAAAGAGGTGGCGGGAATTGCAGCTTCCGCTGGGTATTCAATGTGATCCTCCGAGGGTTTTGACAAATGCGGATTATCGATTGGTTTCTGTGATCCGCGAGATGGTGCAGCGCGAGGGCGATGAGGAGCTTCTCGGCCCCGTGTTTTCGGCAGACGTCGTTGGTGTGGGCAAACCGTCTCCTTGTGGAATTGAAGTGGCACGCAAGGCGGCTTGTGTCCCGTCCGCGAGTCAGTGGATACACGTGGGCGATGGAGGGGCGGACCGAGTGGCGGCTGAGCGTGCGGGGTGTCATTTCCTGCCCTGCCTGCAAACGAAAGGCGTGGTCTGGGAGGAACTGCGGGAGAAGCTGGAGCAGGTGTGCCGTTTGGCGCAGGAGGCCGCGCCTTGCGAGTGATTTTGTACTTTTTTCATTTCAATTTGTTCATTTTTCGTTTTGGACTGCCAATGTAATGCGTCTGCGTCTTTCTGTTTTTAGACATTTTTGTTGATTTTTTGGTGCACTCTGTTATTTATTTTTTGTTGTTGTTTTTTGAGGCGGTATCAGTATGACGTATATATTACATATGTTTGTTTCTTTTGAACGCCATTTGATGCCCCGCAGGCCAGCCGCCATTGCGGCGCATGTTCTTTTCCGCCACGCGTAGATGTGGAAGAGAGCCCCGGCCCCTTCGATAAGAGAGGAAGCTGCGGTGGAAGGCGTGAGAACATCCCCCCCCCCCCCTCGTTAATAAACTAATTGGGACGAATGCGGTGACACCTTAATCCGTTGCCGCCGAGAGCAAAGAGGTGCAGCAAAATACCAGGATTATAAAACCACCAAACATGTAAATACGGGGTCAACAGACCACGGAATCCATAAATGACACTCTGTTTCTGTTTTTTTTTTTGTGTGTGTGTGAGCCACCACTTCATTTTTTTTTTTTTTTTTATGTTGCTGCAGCTTGGAGTGTGGGCGAAAAGGATGATTCGGCAAAGTCTCGATGTGGTACCCACCGTGCAGCCCAAGTACCGACTGGAGGAGGATGCGCGGCTGGCTGCGGAGAAGCGTCGTCAGGGCGGCCGAAAGCCGGCGACCGCTACGGGGACGCGGGTGGAGCGTTACTGCATCTTCAGCTGCGATGATTTTTGGGCGATGGTGAGCGGCAGCCATGCTGCTGGCGGGAAGAATCTTGCGTGCAGTAATGGCAACGAAAATGAGGAGAGGAAAGAAAAGGTTGTCGCCGGTGCTCGACTCTACTCGTGGCTGCCGTCACCCGAATTGGGCACACGCGTGCCGCAAACCCTGCAGGTGTTGGAGGCTCCGAAAAAAAATTCGAAGCGCATCCGACGTACGTTGTACCGGGCCACATTGCGCAGTTCGAGAGCGCCTGGCGAAAAGAACGAAGAGGAAGATGAGGAGGATGGGGGCGATGAAACATTAGAGGATGAAACGGCGCCTCGGTTTAGTTCACTTCCGTTACCCGAATACGAGGACATGTCATCTATCCTTCTTTTAATTCCTACAGTTGCTGAAGAAGGGGCGGTGGCACGAGCGAGACCGCTTGACGCTCCTGTACACACCCTCCGTCACGAACGCACGGGGGCCGCCAAGACAGGCCAGGGTATCTCGACATCGTGGTACTCTGGTCTGGACGTTCGTTCTGTGGGATTTAAGCGAAGCTACATAGATGGCGACGAGGACGCGGATGAGGGAGACGCTTGGAGCACTTTCTCTGACGATGCCTTGAACAATGCTCGGCAGGGCGGCAGGAAGAATCGTGAGGGCAAGGAAGAGCAGCGAGTTGTTAAGAGGAATAAAGTGGAAACCAATGAAGATACAGCTGCGAATACAAATGGAATCGAGGGAACGAAGGGAGTAAAAAAATATTCTGATGATGTGCAGCAGGCAACAAATGATGGTGCTCCTGTGTCGCTTCTGCCTACGTCAGCTTTCAGTACTTTGGAGGGGGCTACACAGAGGGTCGATAAAGTGGACTTCTCGGGAATCAACGTGGAAGACTTGGAAAGCCTCACTGCCTCCCTTTTGCAGCAGTGGGCCTCCGCTGGAAAAGCAGCCATGCCCTTTTCTGAGGTGACGAAGGTTGTGCTCAAGTCTCATCCAAAGTACACCGAAATGAAAGCGAAACATCAGTCACCTGAAGGCAGGCAGGAGGCACTGGAGTGGTTTCGTGTGTCACAGAAAGCCGTTCGTTCTTACGTTCTACATTTGGGATACACGATAGACAGTACGAACAACGTGTACTTATCACGGCCGTCGAACACCTAACGAAACTGAGGGGATGGGGGAATAGCTTCCATCGAGGCCTCTCCATGGCTGAGGGTGGGGCAAAGACGGCGACATGTCGTGGAGGTCTTTGAGAGGATAGTCGTTGAAAGAAATTTTGATGTTCAGCCCTTTTTTGTTTGCTTGTTTGTTTCTTAAGTATGTATGTCTCTTAACTGAATTTTAATTGGCTTTTTTGAAAAATTCCTTTCCCACTTTATTTCCTTTTTTCTCTGTCTGTTTTATTATTATTATTATTATTTCTGTTTGTTTGCAATGTTTTTTGTGTGTTTGTTGCCTTCTTTTTTTTTATTGTCTTTGCGGGAGATCAACGCGATGCCAAAGAGTGATTCATCACCCGCCCTTGAGAAGCCACGGTCCACCACCCCGCAGCCCGCCGAACCGGAAGCCTCCAATAAAAACAAATACACGGATCCATTGGATCTCGAAGATAATGAAATAGAGACCGTGGAGATGTCAACTAAAACGCAAGCCGCTGTCCATTTGCCGCCTCGGACACTGCAGCAAGAATCACCGGAGGCGTGTACGGCTCACGGTGCAAATACGGTGCATGCGCTGGCAGCAGGAGTACCAGCTTACTCCGGCGGGGAGGAAAATGATCAGAACCCCTTTCACAAGGGGAAAAGGGAGATTTCTACGACGTCACAACTTACAACAAGTGCTAGCGCGATCCAAGACTCAGCCACGGAACCGGATGGGAAAAAGTTCTTCATTTCAGTAGAGGTTACATCTGATGGCGTCACACGACTGGAGGAACTTGACCCGCGGGAACTTGCACGTTTGTATGCACAACAACAAGCTGCCCTTCGTTCTATTTCCGGGGAGTTTGATATTTTATATGTACCTGATTGGGTCCGCCTCCACCCTTTGCTGGGATCCTACGTGGCAGAAGCATTTGGAACTTTTGCCTGCGTGCTCACTCTTTCTCTTGTCAGCGTTCGTAATCAAAGTCTTTTTGATAGGAGTAATGATACTAACATGACTGCTCTTCCGATTGGATTTATGTTCATGTGCATGGTGTTTACTTTTGGCTACATTTCTGGCGGCCACTTTAACCCCGCCGTCACAATGGCTGTGTTTCTCGTACGAAAGTTGGATTTTGTGCGAGCCGTGGGTTACACAATTTGCCAAACTGGGGCGTCCCTTGGCGCCGGGCTTGTGGCTATGGCAATTCAAGGAGGCACGGACATATTTGTGCCGTACGTAGATAAGGCTTATGTCTCTTCTGGTATATTCTCAGAGCTCATATTTACTTTTGCTATCGCAACGGTGGTGCTGAATGTGGCGTACTCCCGGCAGAGCGGGAATTTTTTCTACGGTTTTGCTATTGGAATGACTGTCGCCGCCGGTTCTGCATCTGTGGGACGAATTTCTGGCGGTGCCTTTAATCCTGCCGCCGCCACGGGCCTGCAGTTGGCACTTTGCCTCACCGGTAACTGCGAACCCTTGGCGTCTTTTTGGATCTACTGGATGGCGCCACTTGTTGGCTCTGCACTAGCTGCCTTGCTGTACGCGAATCTCTCACAACCAGAAAACACCCGGGCTCTTACAGATGCTGCGGTGCTGCGGGCGGACTCGGCCGCAAACGGTGTGGCTCCGGTGCAATAGTTAGCGTTCCCCCCTTCCCCTGCCTGTGTCACGTTTTCACCGCTGCCTCTGCCGCAGAATTTTTTTTTTTTTTTGCAGGGGCGGTGGTGGTAGTTTTGCGGAGAGAAAAGGAAGAAAGAATCGTGTTTATTGAGGTACAATTGCTGCGTGTACATGGAAGAAGGGGGGGGGGGTGTATATAAATATGCATAAACGTGAATACCCACGACTGACGCAACGAAATATCCGTCATCACGGCAGAAGAAGAATAATAATCAAAGGGGGGGTGAGCGGAAAGGTGGGAGAAACGAGGGAGAGGACCGTTTTTTTTTGTTTTTTTTTTGTGCGTGTGCATATCAGGAAAAAGATGGACATGAGTTTTCATTTTTTCCGCCCTTTCGAGGCTCAGACGTGGCATGAGGTTTGGTTCAACGTTGTTTCTCTATTCTCTCTGGTCTGTCAAACACCTGCACACAAACAGACACGCAGAAACATTTCACGGATCTCTTATTGGCAATGACTGCCACGGGCACCTGTAGGTGTGTGAAGAATATCTCTTTATTTTTTATTCTTGTTTTTTCCCTCTTTTTTTCTTTGTTTTTGGAAGGAGGGGCATTTAAAATGTGACCGACCCACCAAACGGTAGCTGAGCGGCGGCGCGTGGAATTCATGTATTGTGTTGGACCGCTTCTTCTTAAAATTTGACTGCTATTCTTTCCTTCCCGCTATGTGTGTCTTATGGTGCGAAGAGGAAGTCCCCTTTGTGATTGTAGCGTTTTTTCTGTAAAAACAACAACAACAAAAAAGACAGAATAAGAGGGAGAAAGGGGAGGGAGGTGGCTGTTAGTTTTGAACTGGGTGTGTAGAGATGACGGAGGAGGTTTTGGCCGTGGAGGAGCGATCCTACTTGGCACGCAAACTCCCTCTGGTCAAGTTATCTGCATATCAGGCAAAGTTTATTTGTGAAGGCATTGGATCCTTTGTTTTTGTGATGACTGTCTCTTTGGCAGAGATGAATTGTGGCATCACCTCCATTAATGGGAAGGACCGTACACGCAACCTTGCCCCTATTGCGGAGGGTTTTATGCTATGTGTGCTGGTGTTTGCATTTGGCTACATATCGGGGGGTCATTTTAACCCTGCCGTGACTTTCTCAGCGATGCTTATCCGGGCTATGCGGTTGGAGGAGGCGGTGGCATACTGGATTGCACAGGTGATTGGCGGTGTTCTTGGCGCACTTTTTGGTATTGTGGTGAACGGGTTTCCTCGCCACTTACCTGCTCCTCAGGTCTATCAAAATCTTCCAGCATACATCTTTACGGGATTCCTTGCGGAGGCGTTGTTCACGGGGTTCTTGGTGACCGTTGTTCTTCACGTCGCATATTCCCGCCAACGCAATAGTCATTATTACGGCCTGGCCATTGGCATGTGTCTGCTCACCGCCAGGTACTCCGTGGGCAGCGTGTCGGGCGGTGCCTTTAACCCCGCCGTTGCAACCGGTTTACAGTTAACGAAATGCATCGCCGCGGGGTACTGCATTCCTTTGATGCATCTTTGGTTGTATTGGGCAGCCCCTGCCGCAGGGGCTCTTGGGGCATCACTGCTTTTTAAAATGACACATCCGGCGCCGCAGGAGACGGAGGAGGAGAATCAGCGGAAGGCGTTGCAGCGTTCTGCCAGGCATCTTTACGGATCGTAAAGCAGGAGGTGGCAACCGCGGCCCAACGGAGAGAGGAGCACCCAGCGAAGACAAAAAGGAAAGTGTAGGAAGAAAGGAGACTTACGCAAGACAAGACTTTTATTGAGAGCGGAAGAAGGGCTCAAAATTCGGCCGCTGCGACAGCAACAAAAAAGCAGGACGAAAAAAAACCGGAGGAGGAATGGGGGGTGGCGACGCTGAACTGCGGAGTAATTTGTGGCGCATTTTTGTTGTTTTTTTGGCTTTCTTTTTATGTTTCAGTGCGTGCTGGCATAAGCGGGCAGAGGACGGAGGAATCGCATGGGGTGGAAACGACTTGTCATTTGGGAGCCTGGTTTATATATATATATTGCCATGCACTTTTTTTTTTTTAACTTTCTGTTTTATTTATTGATTTATTTATTTCCTTCTATAAGGGCCTTCGCATGCGCAAGGGGACGTTGAAAAGGAGACCTCAAACATGTCGGAGGACGATGATGAGAGTTGCGGGGTGACGAACAAGACAAATTCCTCTTCGATTGCATTGTTTTCTTCGTTGCCAGACGTCCTTTCATTCACAGAAAACTCCGGGACATGGATATCGCGACTTGTCTGCATGTTCTTTGCGCGTCTGGCCTCCGGTGAAGAACTTTTACCTCTTATCCAGCACGTTCGCACCGAGCTGTTGCTCCCGACGCAAGTGCCATTGGGAGCCAGGGCCATACCAGTTGCCACATTAGAAGCTTCAGTCGCCAATACCACGACGGATGTACCAGGAACCATGTTGCAAGGGTCTAATCCGAGGATGGAGGCGATGGATGGTGTCAGTGATCAAGATAAGCTGTTTTTATACCGTGCTGCGAAAGTGGCCTTATTGCTTTCTGCAGAAGGTGAGAAGGCGCAGGATGAGGCAACACGATTGTTGTGTGAGCCGGTTGTGGCTCAGGCTTTGCGGCTTGCCGCAAATCATGGCGATGCTGTTGCACTTCCTTTGCCACGAAAATATGATTTTTTTTTGAGCAGCCGTGTTGCAGTGTGTTGTGCAAAGCGGTGGGCACGCGAGGGTCGATGGGATGTGGGTTTGCGACTGTTAGAACGTGCCGTCGCCACTCCAATGACGAAAGCAGCAGCAGTGGAGTTGCTCAGCAACGCCGGGCGTTGGGAAATGGCGGTACGATGTCTTGGTCAACTTCCCCCTACTTTGTGGACGGAGATTGAGGTATCAGCCGCTGTCCGTAGCTTATACCGAGCCGTGGAAGGGCGTCGGCGTAACGGTATGAAAGTTGGTGATACCCCCAACGCAGGGTTGTGGAGGATTGCGCTTCATATATTAACGTTGGTTCGTGATAATAAAGTAAAATTAAGTGCTCCGTCTGCCGTCAACGATGCGCTGGGTTTGCTTGGGGCCGATGGGCAGCAGTGGGTGATGGCATGTCGTCTTGTCAAGACAATGCTACTAAATTTGGAAAAGGAGGGACGGACGGGTGAATCTAGTGGCACTGTTCGTCCAAACATGGTTTCAATCTACCACATGTTTCGGGCCCTGCGGCAGCATTGGCATCTGGCGCTCCAACATGCATCTCTGATGATGCGTGAAGGGGATGTTTGTATATCCGACGATCGCGAAGTGACAGATCGATTATTGAAGGCCTGCGTCGTTGGCTATCGTTGGGTGGAGGCATTACGTACCGTACAAAAGTCTCTAGAGAGTAATCCAAGCGAGGAGGGAAGGGATTTTATTCATACCGACGTTTTTCTTCGCGTTCTAGGGATGTTACACGAGCGCCAGAAGGGGTTTCTTGCCACGCAACTCTTTCAGCAGCCTCAACTATCAAGGCACTTCAGCAAGGACACTACAGGAAAAGCATATAACGTGATGCTGCGTTACTGTAATACTGCTTCGGAGGCTCGAGTGTGGTTGCAAACGATGGGAACAAAAAATATACTGGTTGAAAATGAGTCATACGAACACTTAATGATTCTATACTCTAGAGAGGGTGTTTGGCAGCAGGCCTTGTCGTTATTTAATGCCCTTCTGACCGATCCACAACGTCAGCGTCTTTATATTCCCTGTGCCAAAGCACATGACGCAGTGCAGTACGCCTTGGAGCGAGTCTTGCCGCCAGGACCATCGTGGGAGGTATCAATGACACTTTTTACTCGTATGTGCGAATTAAATGTGCCAATTTCAGAGGTGGCCTTTCAGTCCGTCGTAAAGAAGTGCTTTTCACAGGGTAAAGCCGATGAGGCACAATCTCTTTTCCGTTTTGTGGTGCGACATGGTGTCCGACGATGACGGGGGAAGGGTTTTTAATGAATACTTAAACCTCAATTCAAAATTACGTCGTTGAGACAATATGATGGATGGCGTGTCACGGCATTTAGATTTAATGCTTTTACCCTCTTTTTACTCTTGTACTCTCCTTGGGTGTAATGGCTCTGAAGACCATTTGGGTTTTTACTCTTGTACTTGTGTGTACGCATTCTTTTTTTTTTTTTTTTACAAGCCATTTATAGGTGTTTCTTATTCATATAATTTTACAGGAATAAGTAGGAAGCAAAGAAAAGGAAGAAGTATTTAGTGGAAAAGAACAAGTAAACAACAACAAGAGCAGCAACTATTACGCGAGAGAGGGAGGGGAAGAAGAAGATGAATGGATTTGGGGCACCGGGAGGAATTGTAGCTGGAACCAACAATTTTGGCGGGACATTTGGTCAGCAGTCAGGGTTTGGAGGAAATACTGGGGGCTTTGGGATGAATACCGCAGCAGCTGGGGCCGGCTTCGGATCAATGCAAAACTCAGCAGGGCCAATCATACAGAGTCATCAGGGATCCGGAGAACAGGGCCGCTTTGGGGACGGAGCTTTTGGAGGAAGTACTTTTGCTGCTGGTGGCTTTGGCTTTGGCTCTGCCACGACCACGTCGGCACCTGCTGCTGGTGGCTTTGGCTCTGCCACGACCACGTCGGCACCTGCTGTTGGTGGCTTTGGCTCTGCCGCGCACACGTCGGCACCTGCTGCTGGTGGCTTTGGCTCTGCCACGACCACGTCGGCACCTGCTGCTGGTGGCTTTGGCTCTGCCACGACCACGTCGGCACCTGCTGCTGGTGGCTTTGGCTCTGCCACGACCACGTCGGCACCTGCTGCTGGTGGCTTTGGCTTTGGCTTTGGCTCTGCCACGACCACGTCGGCACCTGCTGCTGGTGGCTTTGGCTCTGCCACGACCACGTCGGCACCTGCTGCTGGTGGCTTTGGCTTTGGCTTTGGCTCTGCCACGACCACGTCGGCACCTGCTGCTGGTGGCTTTGGCTCTGCCACGACCACGTCGACACCTGCTGCTGGTGGCTTTGGCTCTGCCGCGCACACGTCGGCACCTGCTGTTGGTGGCTTTGGCTCTGCCACGCACACGTCGGCACCTGCTGCTGGTGGCTTTGGCTCTGCCACGACCACGTCGGCACCTGCTGTTGGTGGCTTTGGCTCTGCCGCGCACACGTCGGCACCTGCTGCTGGTGGCTTTGGCTCTGCCACGCACACGTCGGCACCTGCTGTTGGTGGCTTTGGCTTTGGCTCTGCCACGACCACGTCGGCACCTGCTGCTGGTGGCTTTGGCTCTGCCGCGCACACGTCGGCACCTGCTGCTGGTGGCTTTGGCTCTGCCACGACCACGTCGGCACCTGCTGTTGGTGGCTTTGGCTCTGCCGCGCACACGTCGGCACCTGCTGCTGGTGGCTTTGGCTCTGCCGCGCACACGTCGGCACCTGCTGTTGGTGGCTTTGGCTCTGCCACGCACACGTCGGCACCTGCTGCTGGTGGCTTTGGCTCTGCCACGACCACGTCGGCACCTGCTGCTGGTGGCTTTGGCTCTGCCACGACCACGTCGGCACCTGCTGCTGGTGGCTTTGGCTCTGCCACGACCACGTCGGCACCTGCTGCTGGTGGCTTTGGCTCTGCCACGACCGCGTCGGCACCTGCTGCTGGTGGCTTTGGCTCTGCCGCGCACACGTCGGCACCTGCTGCTGGTGGCTTTGGCTCTGCCACGACCACGTCGACACCTGCTGCTGGTGGAGGTAACTTGGGTAATTCGGCAGCTGCTGCGACAAGTGGGACTGCTGTGGGTACGTGCAAGTCAGCTGCCGCTGAGCTGAAGGGAAAAGCGCTCTTTTCGATATTGGCTCAGTTTGACAAGGATTTTGCTAAGGACTACCGTGAATTTCAGAAACTGTCGCAGCACATGCTTTTCCGTGACCGACAAATTATTGATCGTGGCAATGAGATATTAGCTTACATTTCCCACTTGGATGCCGCAATTTCTTCTGCGGAGGCATCAAAGGAGAGACTTTCGGAGCTAAAGAGCAAACAGGGGGCTATTGCCGCGATGATGCAACGTGTAGAGGATGCTGTGCAGCCCATTTATGCAAAACTGCGTCCAAACTTCACTAGGTTGGATGAGCAGCGCGAGGCCACGTACACAGCGGTAATTAACCTTTTTGATGAGGTAGAGGCATTCAGGCTGAGGTTGTCTCAAAGTGTGGCCCAACACAACCGTTCCCTCCGTCAGCTTCGGGAGTGTGATGACTTAGAGAGGATGGCGGGGCTTGTGGACTGCCAACTAAGTGCTTTAGAGAGGTGCTCCAAGCGGGCAGAAGAATTGGAGTCTGAGATGGACTTGCTACTTGGGAAAAATTCCGCCATGTGATGACGATGTTCGTAAATGATGCAATTCGGCCCATTGGCTCTGTTAGCATTTTTTCTTCTTTTTTTTGTTGCTTTAATTCGTTTCCTACTCTCTGCCTAGTTATCTTTCTGCTGGGCGTGAGAGTCGGTTTAGAGTGCCATCGTGATGGAGGGCGGAGTGGAAAATGCATATCTTTTGCTCTCTGTGACGCTTATGGGGGTGAAGTGGGTCCCGGAAGCAACATCAGGCGAAAAGAGTATTGGTGGGGGAGTTGTTTTCTTTTTTTTTGTGATGAGTGAAAACTTGCCGACTGTATTGGTGGTGGTTTTGGGAGAAGCGAAGTGAAGCCGCGTGAAGCGGAAAAAGCGATGATGATGATGAAATAAAAGGGGGCGTGGAGGCAACAAAAAGTGCTCCTGTGAATGGGACAATGCAGAGAACTGAGACCTTTTAAAAATGAGGAATGACAGAGAGAAGGGTGGGGGGTGAGGGGGACAGCAACAACAACCACAAGGAGAAAAATGGCAAAGAGGGCGGATCAGAGACGTCCCAATCGAGACGGCAACAATTAATGACATATGACAGGGAACAAAGCGTCATATTTCTTTTTTTTTTTTTTTTTTTTTGGTTCTCGCTCCTCTCCTTTTAACTCCTCTCAGGCCCCCCGCGTGCGTCGCCGCCGTTTCTTTCGTTTCCCTTTGCACTTCTTTCTTCTCTGTTTTGTGATTTTGTCGGGTTTTCACCTCTCCGGGGCGGGGGTTGTGTGCGAAAAAAGGAAGAACCAAAAACAACAACAACAACAACAAAAAAGGGGGTGGGGTCGCAATCAGCAAATAGAAGGCGAGGCAAAAGAAAAGGGTTAGAGGTCCACCGCAGAGGGAACACAGTCGCATATAAATATTAATAGTGAGAGAGAAAAAAATATAAATAAATAGAAAAAATAGGAAAAACAAAAAATAAAAATTAACTTAACAAGCAAAACAAAATGAAGTTTCTTGCATTCAGCGCGGCCGCTTTTCTTGGCGCGGCGTTTCAATCCTACACCGCAACGCCAGATCGTGTGGCGCAATGTCGGCAAGAGAATGTGTTTGGGACAAAATTTAAGCCATTTGTGCTTGGCGAGGTGATTAACTTGGCGGAGGACGTCGCTGTGTTTCGTTTTCTCCTACCAAAACCAGAAATGGAGTTTGACCTCATGCCTTGCAGTACACTGCAGGGTTGTTTTAAGGAAGGTATAAACATCGTGGACCAACCGATGCGGTTCTACACTCCCGTTACACGTAATGGTACAAAGGGCTACTTCGACCTGTTGGTCAAGAAACAGGTGAATGGTCGCTTTACCGAACATCTCTTCTCCATGAACGTAGGCGAAACCCTTCTTTTCCGCACCGTGCAATACAAACTAAAGTATAGGAAGAATGCATGGGAGGAAGTTGGCATGATTGGTGGCGGTACTGGCATTTGTCCATTGCTACAGTTTTTAAACGCCTCACTGGATACTCCCGGGGACACGACAAAACTCTCCCTCCTCTTTGCCAACAGATCTGAGAACAAAATTCTGCTCAAGGGTATGCTTGACAAGTTGTCTCAGGAACATTCCCATCGCCTAAAGGTGTACTACACCGTCGATTCAATAGAGAACGAGGATGGTTCTTACAATGGTTACGTTGGATATATCACAGAGAAGATGTTGCAGGAGACGATGCCAAAGCCGGCGCCAAAAAATTTGCTTCTTGTGTGCGGCCCCGATCCAATGATGGAAAAGTTGGTTGGTGCGCCACCGTCCGTTTTGAAAGCCATGAGCAGTGGCCAGGCGTACCAGCCAGCGGGTGCCGTGCTGAACAATTTGGCAGACGTGGAGGGGACTCTCGGCAGGATGGGGTACACAAAGGACATCGTGTACCGCTTCTAGTAGCGGAGCTCTGGTAGAAAAGAAGAGGAATTGTTGCCCAGGTACCACAACATGCCCTTAAATAAATTTATTTATTTAGGCGTGCAACAGGAAAAGAATAATAATAATAATAAAAAATAATTGAAAAAACAAAAAAACAACAAAAAATGGTGAGGTGAATTTAAAAAAATATATATATGTATATTTGGTACCGCACATTTGTGTCTGTGGGGTGGGTCGGGGGGAAAGAGATCTTTGTTATTGATGTTTGTCTGTACTTTTTGCGCCTTTTTTTTTTGTGGTGGGTTGTCTAAAGCGTGGGGCCCCATTTGCTTCTTTTGATGCAGATGGGATTATGCGGTCGACGAGGGTATTTGGGAGAAAATTGTGATGGTGATGCATGTGTGGGATACGTTTGATGTTTACGCTTAATATGAAGACTCTAATTGGAGCGGATTCCTTTGCGAAAAAGAAAATGCGCTTTGACCACCCTTCTGCACGAAGCTGTTGTGAAGTATAGCCTACGTTATCAAAGTTAAAGTAAAGCCTCAAACAGCGATTTACTAGGGAATGCGGAATGAATACATGAGCTCTTGGTGTTCCCGGTGCGGGAGGGAAGTCGCGACGTAAACTGCCCTCATTTCGGCAGTTACGAAATTCTAAACGGCGTTTACGAGGCCCTATCACAGCCGGCCACCTCAACGTGGTGCCAGGGTCTAGTACTCTTTGCTAGAGAGGAAGCTAAGCGCCTGCTGCCCATCCGCTGCCCGCGGAGAGGCAGGAGGCGCCGCACAAACTGGTCGGAAGGGCACCAGATGGAGCCATTTACATGGCTGCCCGCGGAGCGGTTTTTCTATCCGCTGCTGAATTCCATCGGCGCTTATCAGCGCTATACATACCGTTTGCGTGCCGTATGTGACGCGCAACGACAAAAGCTACTGCTAAGCGGAGACATTGAGCAGCACCCAGGCACCATAGCAGTACTCCAGATGAACGTTTCTTGCCTCACGCCGTCAAAACTCGCAACATTAATGGCGCAAGGAGCAGACATAATAGCCATTCAGGAGACTTGGAAGTCGTCCGAGCAGATCGCCAGCATGCATACTGGAGATTATGTGCTCTATGCACAGTCGCGCATCGGCAAGGGAGGCGGTGTGGCGGTGCTGGTGCGGAAAACTCTCCGCTCCAAGCGTATACCTCTCACCATCCCCCAGCATGACACCAGCCCTGAAGTGGTGGTGGTCCAGGTTGCTCTGGACCAGAACCGTGATCTTATTGTAGCGGATGCCTATGTGAGACCACCACCGCAAGTAACGCAATCCTTCAGGCGGTTAGTAAACTGCCTTCCAGCCTCGTCGCCGCTCCTGCTGTGTGGGGATTTCAACATGCATCACCCACAGTGGGAGCCATTTTTGGAGACTTCTCCAAGCGAGGTTGCTGCAGAATTTTTAGAACTGTGCACGGATGCGGGACTCACCTTGGTTAACACCCCTGGTGAGATCACGTATGCTCGTGGCACAAGAGAACGATCCTGTGTCGATCTGACGTGGTCAAAGCATTTGACTGTGTCAGATTGGTCAGCTTCCGTGTCGCCGCTTAGTGATCATTATATGCTGACATTTACGCTGCATCAGGCGTTTAAGGATACCATACCTTCGGCACCTAAGTTTTTCTGCAGTTGGGGGAAGTGCAAGTGGGATTCATTCGTCAAGGACCTCGACGCACAACTTCCGGCATACGACTATAAAAAGCAGTCCACCGGCATCAAAGCTTTCACGAGAGCGCTTATAACTTCGTATCGACGACATTGCCCCCGCGGCATGCACAAGGACGGTCCCAGGCTTTGGGACGACACTCTCATGGAGGCAGAGCGGATTGCTACCGACAGCAAGGCCCGCTATCTACAGTTACCGACGCCCGACCGTGAGGCAGAAATGCAACGGACAAGGAGTCAATTCTTCCTCCTGCTCCGAGAGCGCTGGCGCAACACGTATCTACGTCGCATCAGCAAGTTAAATCCAGGCGAGCCACTCGCATGGAAATACATTTCCGGACGAAAAAAGGCATCACTTCCGTCTCCCACATCAATTTTATTGGGAGATGGTCAACACACTTATAAAACAGCAAGGAGAGCAGTGAATGCTCTCAATCGCATCTTTCTTCCATTTCACCCCTCTCACAAGGCAGTTGGGTTTTCCAAAGGCATCAACAGACAGAGTGCATCTTTGAACATTAATGCTTCTTCCATTTTAGGCAGCAGAACAACAACGAGTCTGCTGCCTCATTTACTTCAGGTTCTTCACTCTCATCTAGTTCTGAGTCAAAGGATAAAAACGAAGCTGCCACCACATCTGGTTTAGTTGCTCATCTTCACTCCCCTCTTGATGCACCTTTTAATCGTACGGAACTGCTTGCTGCGCTACGAAATACGCCGTATGGCAGGGCCCCCGGACCGGATGAAGTCTACAGTGAGGCACTGCGACATGTTTTGTCAAAGGGTCTTCGATTCCTTCTTCGCTGCATTAACCGCAGCTGGACGACCGGTACGATTCCGGCTGAGTGGAGACGCGCTACCATCGTTCCACTCTTAAAACCCGCTAAGTCGCCGGAACTGCTTGAGTCATATCGACCCATCAGCCTAAATTCCATTGTGAGTAAGGTTGCTGAGAAAATGGTACTGAAGAGATTGCTTT